GTTTATTTTCTTCGTAAAGAGTTATATTATCATGCTGTTAAAAAATGTTGACGATTTTATTAATTTTAAGGATCAAAAAATGACTGAAAATGTTGCACTTTTTTTGGGTATGTTTTTTTCAAATAACTATTTCAATTTTTATTATTTTTTTGTACTTAATCTGGGGTAGCTAAACACGAATATTATAGCATTTTCGCCTTAGAAGCAAAATAGACCCGTAAATGTTTAGTTTTCTTTCTTTAAAAGTCATTTTCATAAAATAAAAATTGAAATAGTTACATACCCAAAAAAGTGCAACTTTTTCAAAGTCATTTTTTGATCCTTAAAATTAATAAAATCGTCAACATTTTTTAATAGCATGATAATATAACTCTTTACGAAGAAAATAAACCGAAAATCGTTACTGTAGGGCTATCCGCTGAGAAGATCTAGCCAATCTTCGAGAGCGCCTTTTTTTCAAAAAATCAATATATCTCGAAAAATAATTAATATTTTTAAATTTTTCAAAAATGTACTTTTTTGGATTGCCGCGAGCTATGCTTGCCGTAAATAGCAGATATGGGAACGTAAATGTAAACGAGTTATAGAAGAAGAGAAAAGAGAAGATTTTTAACGGTTATTTCGATATATCTCGAAAAGTCACAAAGCAATCGATACCTACAAAAAAATCTGTCGATAGATCATTTTAAAACCTACAACTTCCTCATTTAAAATTTTTCCATAGGTGCTATATTTTTTTAGTTATTTTAGAAAAACCGTTTTTTGCAACTTTACGATTTTTTTTTTAACCATGTTCGCCATATTGGATTGAGTTTAAAGAACAAGAAACTCAATTTAAAATTTAATTTTCTCATATTTTTTTTGACCAATTTCTGCAAATTTAACGTTAAACAGTGACAGAATGCTTGGACTAAAATTGAAGCTTGAAGTTTTTAGTTTCGGGATCTGAAAGTCAAAAATTTTTATCGTAGACCACCTTTGACGATAAACAAAATAATTATGGGACAGCCCTTAACACAAGAAAAAAGATATTAGAGAAAAAACCTGAAAAAATAAAATAACTGAAATTATATCATGTCTCCTCATCTTCCAAGTTTAAATAACTACTTATTTATTATAATTACTATTATTTTTTTTCACAGCTGTCTGATACTCGTGCGATTGATTTGTCGCTGTGTATAGTCGGGTCCCAATACAACATAATATTTATTCTCTAATATAAGTCTGGGTGCCGGCTGACATAAGTGCAATTTACACATAACCTCTCATAACTTCTTGTGTAGCTTAATTGCGTCTAGGCCACCACCTTTTCCCTCTATGAAAGTTTTCGTAACCGCGGCTTTAATCTTCCCATTTTTCATAAATTTGGGGTCCTCGCGAAACTGATGATTTTCACGCGTTGAGCTGGGAAATGGAAAAATATATTTTGTCGGACAATGTGAAAATGTAGTTCTAGACATTTTTTTAAAGCAATCTTGAAAAAAACAGCTGGTTTAGTTGCACTGTAAACTTTTATTTTGATTCCGATACATAAAAATTTATTTATTTTTTTACTTAAAATTCCAGAGCTAAATTTTTAAAATATGGAAATGTACTACTACTTTTTAAGATAAAATTTGCGAATGTTTTTGATGATCGTGTAATGCTAATTCTGAATCATTTAAAATCGAAGTAAATCGGCAACGTGACTACACGAAATTTAAAAGAAAATACCTTAGACAAACGGCCAGCCTTTCTACAGGTGGTATGCAGCTCTAAATCTTGTATTTTGCAACTGAACGTCTTTGTGAATAATCTCTAGTAACTCATTGTACTTTCCAGATGACATACGGAAGTACCGAAAAAATCTCTGTCCATCCAATAACAGTTTGTTTTAATAAAGTTTGAAATTCGCCCTCTACTTTCTGCTTCTGTTAATTGGATGTATCCAAAATCTTGCATGCTTGTTTCTTTGGGGCTTTTCTTCCTCTTTAAATAGAAGGGCCGATAAAAATACCTCTTCCATAGAACTCATTTTCTTAACTATTGAAACAATATTTTCAAATATTCGAATATTTTCAAATAATGCTCTCCTAATAAATTAGATGCTTAATAAACAGTAAAATTTAGATTCAAACAAATAGGTATTACTATACACACAGTATTGATTATGGATAAGAAAATGAAAATCCACATATTTCACTTACTCTGTTATAAAAACTATTTAAAATAACAGATAATACTCAACGATTTCCTAATAATATTTAAAGATTCAAATAATGAGCATTCAAATAAAAACGAAGTCAAGTTGACACTGTCCTCTATTGGCCCTATAAAATTTTTGTTGATTAAGCAACATGAAACACGACCTCTACTAAATAGGACGGTTCACAGTCCATTGAACATTAGGGATTGCATCCTCCGGTTTGTAGATGGTAAAATTATACTTATTTCTTATTTTTATAAATTTTCACTAAAAATACAAATTACAGACAAGATTGCTTGTGAATCATTCCTTCTATTCAATAGAAATAATTTCCTTTTTGTTCAAAAAACCCCTTTTTTTCCAAATTAAAAATTAGGGTTTGCACCCCTTAACCCGGGATTCTTTTGTTTTTTTTTAGGAGTTGTTTTCCCTTTTTTTTCTTTCCAAATTTTTGTTTGGACTTGGGGTTTTCCGGGAATTCCTTTTTTTGGGGGTGAACATGAGGGGTAGTTTGTATCCGTTTTAGAACAATAGAAAAAATTATTCGTTTGATTAGAGAAAAAGCAAAAACTTTTTATTTTTTAAAATGTAAATTCTAATTGTGCCGTGCCGCGATTACGAAAATTTTCATAGAGGGGAAAAAGGTGGTACATTAGACGCAATTAAGCTACACAAGAAATTATAAGAGGTTATGTGTAAGTCGCACTTATGTCATTTGGATCTTCTGTATTCGTTGAGATACTATGATTTGGCCTCAAAAAAATTTTTTATAGTGTTCTTAATACCCATAACAGATTTGAAGCCATACCGATTGTTTTATAATGATCTTACATTTTTTCCCAATAATTAGTTAACCTAACTCTTAACGACTATTCGAAAATTTATTATAATATCGTTTATAACCGACACTATCTCATAATTTGTTACAAATAATTCATCATCAATAGGTAACAGTATCTTACCTTCTTTCCTCATCTTCCGGTTTTATGTCAACACATTCAGCTTTAATGGACATTTTCATCTCGTCAAATTCTTTATCCAGGTTTTCAGTCTTAACGAATAAATCGAGTGGAGACGTATCCATTTGACTTCCTGCGGCGGAACTACCAAAAATACTTTTCATTTTTTCTTCTACCTCTGAGCAATCTTCGAGGAAACTGTTGTAAGTGCACAGAGAAACAAAGCATGGCTTACAAATAGTGGGATCTTTGACGATATTTATATTCTACAAAGCAGTTTCGTTAAGTTATAAAATGTGCAAGTATTTGATATCGTTCGTACCATTTCAGGAGCCAATTTCTCAATAGCTTCAAGTTCCACTTCACGTATGCACCTAAACTCACGTTCTATTGGCTGCATACACAATCGACATATTTTCTGACCGCAAGAAATATCAGCTAACTCGCTTCTCTTTTCCCGCATGTACACTTCTCTTAGGTCAAGCTGTAACATTTTTTCACTATCCGCATAAAGCATTATTGTGTTATCGGTATTTAGACACGTCGATTTAAATTCTGACGCCGCATTTAACTTTCTTCTGCAAACGTTACATATAACCTCTTTGCTCTCGCCATCAAATTTCTGAAACATATGCAACTTCAGACAGAAGGAAAATAACAGTGGCAGGAAATAACAATTAAATACTAAAAGTTAATTTATACTCGAGACTGCTAAGACGTAATCTAATATTTCGTACTTACAAATGTCGGAAAAAGAACATATAAAATGTCTCTGATACTGTTGTCTATCATTTCAAAACTTTCATCGGTTATAATTTTAAGGCAAAGCCTACACGACTTTTCCTTAACATCAGTCATTACTCTGCAACAATCTTCTTTTAAATATAAACAGAAAACATAACGCAGAGACAAAAATACAAAGCACAAATTCCTCAAATCTAACCTAACCTCACGAGAGACCAGTCTCAGAAGCGTCATTCCACACGACGACAACCGTGCCCTGGCACGGGTCGTGTGAATACGCCCATCTATATTTTTTTATCAATGTGAATGAATAGTGGAAATAAGGTCTGTTTATTTACATTTTCAATTATATTTATGTCAGCTTCATTATTTTTGTCATTTCCCATTTTGTTTTATAAATAGATATTTTATATGAAATGTGTACAAATTTTCAATAAAAGCACGAAATCAATTTTAAAAATCATGTTACGACTGGGAACTGGCGCAAGAATGTAAATAAACAGACCTTATTTCCACTATTCGGTCACATTAATTGGCAAGAAGAGCGCCAGAAGAAAGGGCCCTAGCCGGCGGGGCCCAGCCAGGACAAAAGGAGGTCCCACAAAGCGCCTACACCGGCCGCATTTGCGGTCGGGGTAGACGACGGATGGGGCCCANCTTAACATCAGTCATTACTCTGCAACAATCTTCTTTTAAATATAAACACAAAACATAACGCAGAGACAAAAATACAAAGCACAAATTCCTCAAATCTAACCTAACCTCACGAGAGACCAGTCTCAGAAGCGTCATTCCACACGACGACAACCGTGCCCTGGCACGGGTCGTGTGAATACGCCCATCTATATTTTTTTATCAATGTGAATGAATAGTGGAAATAAGGTCTGTTTATTTATATTTTCAATTATATTTAGGCCAGCTTCAGGTTGGACTATAGCTCTTGGGTACCTGGCATATCTTCGTCAAAAATGAATATACAAATTTGAAATTTGAGGTCTCGGGGAGACCTAAGAGCGAACATAATTTCAACTCGCCTCTTCCACCCTAGCAGGTGCGGAGGGGGTGAGGGGTGGTTTTTAGACGAACCCGCAAGAACCCGTGTCCGGGGGTAGTTTTACGAGTAGAATCCGAAAATCGCAAAATAAATAGTGTACGTCTAAAAAAAACCACCCTTCACCCCCTCCACACCCCCTAGGGTGGAAGGGGTGAGTTGAAATTACGTGCGCTCTCAGGTCTCCCCATCTAGAGTACACCCCTAAAATTTCAGATTTTTATATTCATTTTTGACGGAGATATGCCAGGTACCCAAGAGCTATAGTCCAACCCAGCTTCATTATTTTTGTCATTTCTCATTTTGTTTTATAAATGGATATTTTATATGAAATGTGTACAATTTTCAATAAAAGCACGAAATCAATTTTAAAAATCATGTTACGACTGGGAACTGGCGCAAGAATGTAAATAAGCAGACCTTATTTCCACTATTCGGTCACATTAATAAAAAAAACAGATAGGCGTATTCACACGACCAGTACCATGGGACAGCTGTCGTGTGCCACGGTCCGTAAAGAGACGGTCGCCGCATAAGTCAATCAGCCAATAAAAAACAAATACGTCACGAAATACCTCAATTTATCTTCGTTCAACCGTCATCTCTTTCTAACTCATTGCAATTTCCATTAGAAAATAAGAGGAAAATTTAAAATTGTCACTTTTCTTGTACCACGCTCCTTTTAACATAAAATAATAAATTTAATCAGTTATGATTATGGTTAATTAACAGGAATTTTGAGTCTATGAATGTTACCTTTATATACAAACTGAACCTTTACATTGGAATTTAGAAATAAAACGATGAAATGTGAAATTGTCTTGACTACACATCACGATCGGTCACTATTGTTGACGTTTGGTTACATAATTAACCTAAAATCTGTGTTAATTTTATTACAGATATATACTAATATCCATAAACTAATAAAATGAAGAGGGGAAGTGAATATATAAACAATTTAGACCTGTCTTAATATTATCTTGACTCCAAAATAAAAAGTTTATATGATGTTATTGTATCTGGTTTTGTCTTTAGTTAAATTTCAAATATCTTACCAAAGTACTTTATAATAGGCTGCAACATAATTTATTTTTGTACTTACCAACTAGTTTTACAGTTGATGTTCCGAATTAAAAAATTCCTAAGTTTTTACAAATAAACTATACAGTAGTTTTTAGTCTTGAGAGTTTTTTTTCGGTGTCCGGAGTTAATTGGAGGAATAAAATGGAAGGACGAGGAGGAAAAGTTATTCGCACAGAACTTTTCACATAACATTTAATTTTAAGAAAAATTGTCAAGTTTACAATAATATTAAAATCACATTTCGATAGATGGGTACTTAAAATTTCCAATCGCTTTTCTAACAATCACATCAATTTGTTATGCAACAATAACAATAAATTTAGTCCTTTTAAAGTGAATACAATCAGTTAACTAGAAATTTAACATTTAACCTGATTTTAAGTCCTTTTCTTGATGATAAACTTAATAGCTCTGCTTGAAGATTGCATTCAAAGTTTGAGTCTTCAAAATGTGTCCAGTTATATGATTAAACAAATCGCGTCTTTTGCACCATTCCACCCATATCTTTCTAAGCCTTTTATCCTTAGGGAACACATTAAATAAAGTTTTTAAATTGACTTGTTTAGCACTATAAAAATTATTATTGCAAATTACAACACTACACCTCACTCCTGGCATTTTTACGTGGTAAATTAATAGTTTATATTAAACACTACACCATCAACTTATTAAAAACTANTTTCGTAATATTCTCTTGGCTCCAAAATAAAAAATTTATATGTTTTTGTATCTGCTTTTGTCTTTAGTTAAATTTCAAATAACTTACCAAAGTACTTTATAATAGGCTGCAACATAATTTATTTTCGTACTTACCAACTAGTTTTACAGTTGATGTTCCGAATTTAAAAATTCCTAAGTTTTTACAAGTAAACTATACAGTAGTTTTTAGCTTTGAAAGAGTTTTTTTCGATGTTCGGAGTTAAATGGACTATGGAGGAATAAAAGGAAAGGAAGAAGAGGAAAAGTTAATCGCACAGAACTTTTGACATAACATTTAATTTTAAGAAAAATTGTCAAGTTTACAAAAATATTAAAATCACATTTCGATAGATACTTAAAATGTCCAATCCCTTTTCTAACAGTCACATCAATTTGTTATACAACAATAACAATAAATTTAGTCATTTTAAAGTGAATACAATCAGTTAAACTAGAAATTTAACATTTAACCTCTTTTCTTAAAGTCTTTCTTGATGATAAACTTAATAGCTCTGCTTGAAGATCGCGTTCAAAGTTTGAGTCTTCAAAATGTGTACTACAAATATGTCCAGTTATATGATTAAACAAATAGTATTTTGCACCGTTCCACCCATGTCTTTCTAAGGTTTTATCCTTAGGAAACACATTAAATAAAGTTTTTAAATTGTCTTGTTTAGCACTATCAAAAATTATATTGCAAATTACAACACTACACCTCACTCCTGGCATTTTTACGTGGTAAATTAATAGTTTATATTAAACACTACACCATCAACTTATTAAAAACTTTTATCGATAACTAACTAATTACTGCAAAATATCAAAACTATGAAAGATTTACTTAAATACCTGGAAAATGCAAAATTACTAGTAAAGTCGCATGTAAACAAACATGAATTCTAAAAGTTAGTAATATTGTGACGTAGCATGAGTTAAGCCACGCCCATAATTTCTGGCTATTACTGGACCGTCTTTTTTACGGACCGTGGTCGTGTGCAACCACAGATCAAGAAAAGACATAGATACATAATTTATACCTATGTGGCTTGAAGCCAAAATAGTTCATCGGAAGAGTGAGGAAGTTGTGTTTACATTCCCTCATGGGCAGTGGCGTATCATTTTATAGGGGCTGATTGCAACTAAAATAACAAGTTTAATAATTATAATTGTAAATTTTATTTTCCGCAGATAAACTAGGGAAAATATGGTGTAATAGGTATGTTAAGAAAGCGTGTTTTATTTCTTAAGGTATCTATGAGATTATTTAACTTTTCTTCAACCTATTTTATTACTTATGAACTCCACAGTCCCCTACATTTACTTCTTCCTGGAATACGGTTGAGATGATCTACTGACACAATTTTACTCTCATTTATATACAAAAGGAATGATACATTTCATCATACTCTTAAGCTGTTAATTAATATGATTTTCACGAGATTTTAACAAAACAAAGTATTTAAATTCCATTTGGGTAGGTATATCCTAGTTTTAATTTTAATAGCTTATGACACGGTGTAAAATTTGGTATCAACTCTTACATAGAATTTATAAAATTTGTATATAGGAAACTAAAAGATTGACCATATTTTAAAATTATAATTCATTTTTATAGAGTCGGTCCATTAACCCTTCCTATCACAAACACATATGTGTGAATTTATATAAAAAACTAAAAATTAGAACAGGTTTAAATATATATTTTATATAGAATTACATGTAGATTTTTACATTGCGTGTTACGGCTATATTACTGGAGTTAAAGTTTGTCCCTAATAAAGCTGTCAATTGGTTTATTTTTTAGGTTGTCTCTATCGAATGAATGTTATGAATGAAAAAAGACAACCATATTACTCAAATAGAAATTTATTGATTATGAAATAAAATATTTTTTGTTAACTTATGCTTTATCCTAAGAATATTATCCTGCATTTTATTACAAAAGTGGTCAGAGCATATATAGGTATATATAGATATTGTTTCTGTATATGGAATTCCTAAGCTTCTAAACCACTGTCTTCTAATTAGAAGATTTTTCGGAAATCTGTAACATATAAAAAAATCTATTAAATGTTTTACGCCTTGGTTTATCTGATTTACTAATGCTTTTTGGCACTTAAATTTTGTCAAAGCGAAATATTTAAATTTAACCCCAACAGCTTGTTTTATTGCTACGTCTATGATTATTGTTACTTATGGAACGATCGTTGATTTTGTTTCATTTGGTACATATTGCAAATATAGCACTTCTTCGGCATTGTTCAACACTTTTTTCACTGGAAAAAATCTTACTAACAAGCACGAAATCATTAAAAACGCAAAAACATTAGATTACACTACGAAACACAACAATGGCGAACTCGAATTTTCTGGAAAATGTCAAAATTTGAGCGTAAAAGTGGCGCGAAACTTAAATGAACCAATCACAACACGGGGAATAGTAAATATAAACATGAATCATTTGAGATTCAAACAAATACCCTGAATTATTTATCTATGTCTTTTCTTGATCTGTGTGTGCAACGACTCTACGAGGAAACGGAACAGCAAAATGAGCCGGATTTCTCGGTTACAATTTAAACGTGTACAGGGTGATTCAGACATAATGTCATTAATTTCAACCACGTTATCGGAAGACCTAATAAAAATAGGAAATCGAAAAAATCTTACTCGACTCGTTAACTCCCGCTAATTCGGCGTTTTTGACCGGAAACGAGCCAGCAGATCACGGACCGTTCGAACAAACGTTGAAGCGAAACAGATGATTTCCCGTCGTCCTAAATTTTGCAATTACTTTCAAAACCAAAGTGCAGCTAATCCCAAATTTATTAACAAATTGCTACGGACGAATGAGTGTTGTTTTAGCTGTATGGCATTTTAAATAGGTAGGTACTACTCTTTGAAAAGAAATATTGAACATAATATTAAAAACTTGTATTCAATTATAGTTAAAACGTTAACGATATTAAAAATACTAAATTGTAATAACCTGACATTCGAAAACAATTATTATCCTTAGATATTTGTTTTTATTAACAAATAAATATTTAAATACATTCTAAATATTAATATATTTAGAATGTAAAAAAGTATCTTATTCATTCACGTGTCTAAATAAAAACATATGTTTATTCGTTATAGTTCACTACAGATTAAAAACGCATTAAAAGCTAGGCTACTGGCCGAATATTGTGGTACCTTTGCTAATTTTTTCCCGTATTTCCTTAAAATTAGTATGCACATCTATTTTGCTTTAGTTCTTTTATTCATAATATTGTTGCAAAAAAAACTATTAATTATACAGGCTGTTACAAATTCGCTTCCCACTACAGGGATCTCGGAAACGGTAAGAGATACGAACCAGCTTAAATGGGGGCAAAGTTGCGTAATCAGGAGACCAACATTATGTCTCTAAAAAATCGAAACTAACATGATTAGTTTTCGAAATATTTGAAAAAAAAACTTTTGAAAAAAAAATTTATCTATATTAATACACCTGGTTACAGAAGCACATGTAAACTTGTTGGTGTTTTTCAAGATATACTTTACATTTTGCTTCAGTTCAAATATTTATAGTAAGTCTCTAAAATGTCCTAATTTTTTACTGTACTTCAATGGGCGGCACTTCATACCTGCACACATTTTTTTTGCATCGATTGATGTCTCGTCAAAAACTACTTTGCACTCGTGAATGCTTTCTATGCTTCAACACGTGACATTTTATACCACTTCTGTACTTGGATCCACACTATTACTTTTAGAATTTACGCAGCATATTTGTTTCAGTTGATGCCGTTGCAGATGATGCTTGTAGATACTTTCAAAGAGGCAGTTGTTACACTTGTATGTCTGGACCTGAGAAGGATCTCTATGTTTCAGTTGGTGCTGTCCGATATTATTCCTGTACTTAGTTTCGTAATTGCAGTCGTTACACTTGTATGTTTGTACTAGCAAAGGATTTTTATGCTTCAGTTGGTGCTGTTTGATACCACTCCTGTACTTAGTTTCGAAATCGCAGTTCATACACCTGTACATTTGAACCTGCGAAGGATCTTTATGTTTTACTTGATGCTCTTTGAGATAACTCTTAAATTTAGTTTCATAATGGCAATCGAGACACCTGTACATTTGAACTTGTGCAGGATCTTTATGTTTCAGTTGATGCTGTTTTAAATGACTGTTGTATTTAGTTTTGAAATCGCACTTGTTACACCCATACTCTTCAACCTGCGAAGGAACTTTATGTTTCAGTTGGTGCTGTTTAATATTATTCTTGTATTTAGTTTCAAAATCGCAGTCATTACACCGGTACATCTGAACCTGCGAAGGATCTTTATGTTGCAGTTGATGCTTTTCGAAAAAGCTCCTGTATTTAGTTTCGAAACCGCAGTCGTTACACCTGTACATTTGAACTTGATGCTGTTTGAAATTACTCTTGTGTCTAGTTTTGTAATCGCAGTCATTACACTTGTACATTTGAACCTGTGAAGGATCTTTATGTTTCTCTTGATGCAGTTTAATATAACTCTTATATTTAGTTTCAAAATCGCAGTCGTTACACCTGTACATTTGAACCTGTGAAGGGTCTTTATGCCTCAATAGGTGCTTCTGAAGTAATTTCTTATTTTCAGTTTTGTACTCACACGATTCACATTTATATGCTCTCAAATTCTTCTCATGTCTCGTACAGTGTGCCGTAAAACGGATCTCACTTTCAGTTTTGTAGATACATTTATCACATTTGTACAATACTTTGCGTTTCTGCCTGGTTTTCGCTGCTGATCCATTCTCATGTTTACATCCATCCTCTTCTTCATTTTTACAGTTACTCTCCTCGAATGACACAATATCAAAGGTTTGAAGTGGCGTGTCCCTGAAAAAATTCCATATATAGAGTAGTTTTGAAAATCAGGTATTAATTTTAAGGGGTTATGACAATAATTGAATCAACCATAGTACTGATAGCACAATTTTAATTTTAATGATGAACCGATTCAGATCTTTGATAATGTATTTAATTATCAGAAAAGGCATTTGCGAGATACAGACAATTGAAATACGATCTACAATAGGCATGATGACAGATTTTGAAAAACTGTTCTATGATGTTCGGAAGTATTTACTATTTCCAAAAAAATATCTTATTTCTATAGAAAATAAAAGGTTTAGTTGAAAAATATTGACATTTTAATTTCAAGTCTAAATTCACGCAAATACGATCGCTGGTGTCATGGCGTCTACGTGACGTCCCATCTATGTTTGTCAGCAATAAACATAAGGTGCTAATATTTTGTGTTGCAAGATTAATTAGTTAAATAAAAATACAAAGTTACCATAACAGTATACGCATTTTATTTACCCTCAAATTGTACTTTGGTATAACAATGGATACACATTATCTTTCCATGAAGACACATGGAAAAAACATTAAGAAAATCTGATACATAGTTGTCATCAAATGTAACATTATTTCTACTTTTTTATTTGTACTGTAGTTGCAGTCAGCTACACCGATATAGCCCTTCTGAAGCCCTGTTAAATACATTTCATAGCTGCCATCTGCACATAAAACTTCTGGGTCGGTTTTCCTTTTTCCACGTAATTTTTCAAAAGTCTTCATATTTGTGGTACATTTAATTTCAATAATACTGTCGTCACAGATTCCATCCGGCGATCCTGCTATCGTGGGATAGTTTTTGCAAAGCATTATATCACGTTTTTTTAATTTTTTCCCCAAATTGGTACTTACAGATTTCCTCACTTCATCCTCTAACATTCTATCGCGTTTCATGGCCTATGCATCTGAGATTCTTCCTCCCATTATTAACGTGATCATCTCGTCTCTTCAACTTTCAGGTCATCTTCATGTCAATACGAGTTTCTTCAAAAATATATCGCAGGATTGTTCTTTGTATTTCAGCACCAATTTATGCATGGATAAACTTTTGATCACAAATATAGTCTTTTTGATATTTTATTTACTCGCAGTTGTTGAGCTGTCTTTTCTTGCCTTCTTTTAAAAACTTTTCAAGTATCTAACGTTTCCTGATTATGGTTTGGGTAACACAAAACTAAGCAACTAATATTTGGGAAACACAAAATATTTAAACGAAGATAAATACTGCGGATATTGTCAAAGTACAAATGACACAAAATGACATTTACATAGATGTGACGTAATTCGCTCTGATTGGTGTTTAACCTATCACGGCGGCTTGCTATATTTTGTAGTTTTATTTTATAAAAAATATTATCAATCTTGCTCATAATATAAAAATAAATACGTTTTTTATAATCCATGAATCCTATTTCATAAGATAAATACATAAGCTGAAAATTTTTTATCGTTGATCACGTTTTAGAAATCGAAAGAAATCCCTGGGGAAATTTTTTTATAATTTTTGCTTCACTTTCAACAGGTCCACGGGTCTCAATATATTTTTTTNCATGTACATTTGAGCCTGTGAAGGGTCTTTATGTTTCAGTTGATGCTGTTTGAAATTACTCTTGTGTCTAGTTTTGTAATCGCAGTCATTACACTTGTACATTTGAACCTGTGAAGGATCTTTATGTTTCTCTTGATGCAGTTTAATATAACTCTTGTATTTAGTTTCAAAATCGCAGTCGTTACACCTGTACATTTGAACCTGTGAAGGGTCTTTATGCCTCAATAGGTGCTTCTGAAGTAATTTCTTATTTTCAGTTTCGTACTCACACGATTCACATTTATATGCTCTCAAATTCTTCTCATGTCTCGTACAGTGTGCCGTAAAACGGATCTCACTTTCAGTTTCGTAGATACATTTATCACATTTGTACAATACTTTGCGTTTCTGCCTGGTTTTCGCTGCTGATCCATTCTCATGTTTACATCCATCCTCTTCTTCATTTTTACAGTCACTCTCCTCGAATGACACAATATCGAAGGTTTGAAGTGGCGTGTCCCTGAAAAAATTGCATATATAGAGTAGTTTTGAAAATCAGGTATTAATTTTAAGGGGTTATGACAATAATTGAATCAACCATAGTACTGATAGCACAATTTTAATTTTAATGATGAACCGATTCAGATCTTTGATAATGTATTTAATTATCAGAAAAGGCATTTGCGAGATACAGACAATTGAAATACGATCTACAATAGGCATGATGACAGATTTTGAAAAACTGTTCTATGATGTTCGGAAGTATTTACTATTTCCAAAAAAATATCTTATTTCTATAGAAAATAAAAGGTTTAGTTGAAAAATATTGACATTTTAATTTCAAGTCTAAATTCACGCAAATACGATCGCTGGTGTCATGGCGTCTACGTGACGTCCCATCTATGTTTGTCAGCAATAAACATAAGGTGCTAATATTTTGTGTTGCAAGATTAATTAGTTAAATAAAAATACAAAGTTACCATAACAGTATACGCATTTTATTTACCCTCAAATTGTACTTTGGTATAACAATGGATACACATTATCTTTCCATGAAGACACTGGAAAAAACATTAAGAAAATCTGATACATAGTTGTCATCAAATGTAACATTATTTCTACTTTTTTATTTGTACTGTAGTTGCAGTCAGCTACACCGATATAGCCCTTCTGAAGCCCTGTTAAATACATTTCATAGCTGCCATCTGCACATAAAACTTCTGGGTCGGTTTTCCTTTTTCCACGTAATTTTTCAAAAGTCTTCATATTTGTGGTACATTTAATTTCAATAATACTGTCGTCACAGATTCCATCCGGCGATCCTGCTATCGTGGGATAGTTTTTGCAAAGCATTATATCACGTTTTTTTAATTTTTTCCCCAAATTGGTACTTACAGATTTCCTCACTTCATCCTCTAACATTCTATCGCGTTTCATGACCGATGCATCTGAGATTTTTCCTCCCATTATTAACGTGATCATCTCGTCTCTTCAACTTTCATGTCATCTTCATGTCAATACGAGTTTCTTCAAAAATATGTCGCAGGATTGTTCTTTGTATTTCAGCACCAATTTATGCATGGATAAACTTTTGATCACAAATATAGTCTTTTTGATATTTTATTAACTCGCAGTTGTTGAGCTGTCTTTTCTTGCCTTCTTTTAAAAACTTTTCAAGTATCTAACGTTTCCTGATTATGGTTTGGGTAACACAAAACTAAGCAACTAATATTTGGGAAACACAAAATATTTAAACGAAGATAAATACTGCGGATATTGTCAAAGTACAAATGACACAAAATGACATTTACATAGATGTGACGTAATTCGCTCTGATTGGTGTTTAACCTATCACGGCGGCTTGCTATATTTTGTAGTTTTATTTTATAAAAAATATTATCAATCTTGCTCATAATATAAAAATAAATACGTTTTTTATAATCCATGAATCCTATTTCATAAGATAAATACATAAGCTGAAAATTTTTTATCGTTGATCACGTTTTAGAAATCAAAACAAATCCCTGGGGAAATTTTTTTATAATTTTTGCTTCACTTTCAACAGGTCCACGGGTCTCAATATTTTTTTTGGCAATCCAATCTGTCAGCTCTTTTAGTTTAATTCATCCTCTTTGAATTGAGCTGTTCAAGACCTTTATAAATTCCAAAATTGCGTATTTGAGGATTTCTGTTACACCTGAGATTGATATTGAAGATATTTTCATTTCTTTAACATTCTGTCAGGAGTTCAAATGGCTGCGATTTTTCTTTCATCGTGAATTGTCAATTAAAGAATAAATTTTGCATTAAATCATTTTTTTTAAATTGAAGTTTTTTTCGCAAAAATCTATATATTTTCTTCATCAAAAAGTGTCGTGAAAAAAAATGAATATTAGAATTTTTTTTTTGGCAAAACAATTCTTTTCGGAAATATATTTTTTACAATATTCACAATGCTATACAAATATAAAATAAAGCGGTCCTTTTTTTTTAGTGCAGTTTCCACCTTGTTTTCAAACGTCGATTTAAAAATTAATTGCAACAAGTTGTATAGCCCCAATCAATTGCTGTATTTACTTCTATCTCTCTAAAGATCTACCTTTTCATTCAAGAAAATTTCAATTTCTGTCCAAAGTTAATAAATTGATTGAATGAATGGAATTTAGTATAGCATTCTTTGTACCCATATCTGACTCGTAGCCATTCTGATTGTTTTATAACGATCTTACGTATGTTCCCAATAATTTGTTAACCTAACGCTTAATGATTATATAAAAGTTTGTACGATATCGTTTATAATGGACAATCTCATAATTTGTTACAATTAGTTTATCACCAGATGGTACATATTTAATCATATAAATCACAAAATGTCCGAACCACGGGCTGCCTTTTTTTAAATTAATGTTAAAATAGTCTCCTCTTACCTCGTTTCTTCATCTTCCGTTTTTATGTCGACATATTCAGCTTTGATCGACATTTCCATCTCGTTAATATCGAATTTCTTTTCCAGGTTTTCAGTCTTAACGAATAAACCAAGTGGAGACGTATCTATTTGACTTCCTGTGGCTGAGCTATCAAAAATACTTTTAATTTTTTCCTGTACTTCCCAGCAATTTTTTAGGAAACTGTTGTGGGTGCACAGAGAATCGAAGCATGTCTTACAAACAACGGGATCTTTGATGATATTTATATTCTACGAAGCAGTTTAGTTAGATTATAAAATATGCAAGTAATTAATATTGTTCATACCATTTCAGGTGTCAATTTCTGAATAGTTTCAAGTTCCTCTTCACATATGCACCTAAACTCACTTTCTACTGGCTGCATACACAATCGACATATTTTCTGACTGCAAACTAATTCACTTTTCTTTTCCTGCATGTACACTTCTCTTAGGTCGAGCTGTAACATTTTTTCGCTATCCACATAAGGAATAATTGTTTTATCGGTATTCAAACACGTCGACTTAAATTCTGAAGCCGCATTTAACTTTCTTCTGCAAGCGTTACATATAACCTCTTTNATAAAATATGCAAGTAATTAATATTGTTCATACCATTTCAGGTGTCAATTTCTGAATAGCTTCAAGTTCCTCTTCACATATGCACCTAAACTCACTTTCTACTGGCTGCATACACAATCGACATATTTTCTGACTGCAAACTAATTCACTTTTCTTTTCCTGCATGTACACTTCTCTTAGGTCGAGCTGTAACATTTTTTCGCTATCCACATAAGGAATAATTGTTTTATCGGTATTCAAACACGTCGACTTAAATTCTGAAGCCGCATTTAACTTTCTTCTGCAAGCGTTACATATAACCTCTTTTCTTTCTTCAAATTTCTGAAAAATATGCAACTTAAAACAGAAAGAAAATAACTGTGGCAGAAAATAACAATTAAATACTAAAAGTTAATTTACACTCGACTGTTAAGACGTAATCTAATTATAATTCACGTTTACCAATTTCAGCAAAAGACCATCTAGAATGCCTCTGATAATGTTGTTTATCACTTCAAAACTTTCATCGGATATATTTTTAAGGCAAAGCCTACACGACATTTCCTTAACATCAGTCATTAACACAATCTCCTTTTAAATATAAACAGAACGCAGACAAATATACAAAGCACAAAGCCGTCAGTCGTCACTTATAACCTTCTTGGCTTATTTTCTATTTCTCATAATCTTATATGACAACAGCATTGGCAGTGCTGGCTGGCACTAATGGCAATGGCAGCGCATCTAGTAGTTTATGGGTTATGGTTAGCAATAGAGATGGGCGAAACATGACGATCCGGCTCGCCGTACTGACACGAGACCGGTGTGTCCCAGTCCCTTCGTTCCTTCACAGAGTCACTCCACACGTCGGTCGTATCATAGCACAGGTTGTGGAATACGCCTATCTATATATTTTTATTAATGTGACCGAATAGCAGATTTAAAGGTCTGTTTATTTATATTTTCAATTATAATTAGGTCAACTTTATTATTTTTGTCACTTTTCATTTTGATTGAAATTGATATTTTATATCAAATCCGTAAAATTTTTCAATAAACGAAGGAAATCAATTTTAAAAATCTTGATACCACTGGGAACTGGCGCAAGAATGTAAATAAGCAGACCTTATTTGCACTATTCGGTCACATGAATGAAGGCAATACAGTTTGGCATGAAGGTCTACTGATGAAAATGCTCACCAACCAATATCCCATATCCTTTACCAAACTCATAAAATCCTACCTACACCACCGAAAATTACGCATCCAAATCCAAGATTCCCTTTCCACCACCCGTCCCATGGAGGCCGGTGTCCCCCAGGGCACCGTCCTGTCCCCACACCTATACACCATTTACAACTCCGACATCCCACATCCCCCCAACACCAACATATACTTATACGCCGACGACCTGACAATCACATCCCAATCCGTAGATCCTAGATATTCCGTCT